TACAAGGCCATTGTTGTATTCAAAGAGTTCCATACAAAGTTAACGTAAAGTATGTTAATTGACATTAACTTCACCTTCGATTTTCCCCCAATTTGGTTTCTGGCACTTGCTTTTGGATTTCTGGGCTACATTTAAGGTTAGGCATTCAACAAAGATTAAAGAGCTGGCCACAATAAAATAGGGATTAGTACACTTGCGCATTCGTAAACAAAACAAATTGTACATGGAATTGTGAAAATTATATTAGACGCTTTGAAAAGTCCTTCTATTATTGTAATATTTAAATTATAATAAGAAAACTTCATGTTACGGTGCTGATCTCGTGTCGGTAAGTTGTGTCATTCTTTAGGACCAAGATCCATGCATCAATTTGGGTCGGAGGAGAATTATGTATCTTCATTAACACACTGTTCTAATCATTTGCGTATTCATGATGGAACGCATTTGTAAGAAAGGTATGGATTTGAGGGTATCTTCTGCGTGTTTGTCTTATTACAATGTTCTACAGAACAAAAACAACTTTTTTCTGTAACAAGAACAAAAAAACACTGTTTCTGGAAGATAATTTGCTTCTCAATCCACATCTTATTTAAGAATTTCTGTATCGGGCTCCGTTTTCATGTGATGATAGTTTTATGCTAATGCATATTCTCCCTATATATTATATGTATCTGGGAAAATATCACGCTCTAACAACAACAGATTGAAAGTATACATTAATTAAGTATACAATAACATAAGTGTTAAGAAAAGTGATGAAAAATCCCTAAAATATTTCCTTTCCGATTTCTAGCGATACGTTGCCTCATCACATTTTTGCATCTTCACAAGTTCCAGCAGCAGTCGACAACATTACGCCACTCAAATTGCCTTCATAACGTTTTCCCATTTGAAGAATGTCCTGGTGGAACTCATAATTGACTCTATATCATTACAGAAGAATAGCACTTTCCTTAGTGAAATATTTTGAAAAAAGCTATTTGGCGATCAAGAAAAACACTGTTTTGTATAGAGGAAAAGAAGATTCCATTCTTTTAGTTGCGCAGCTAAAAGCTGAGACTGTTGCTTCGACAAATTTGAACCATGAACACCATTCAAATTCAAACTATAATTCATAACGTCTTAGAAAACCTAAACTATGTGAAGTAATTGCAGAGAACTAAAACTTATCAACTGGAATGCAAATGGCATTAAGCGTCAAGAAAATGAATTCATATACTTCATAAAGAGTAATCAAATTAAAATAGCAGTTATCACGGACACCCACCTCACGCCGGGAGAAAGATTCATTCTTCCCGGCAACAAAATGTATGGAAACGACAGGATATCACAAACTGCGTCAGGTGGCGTAGAAATTTTGATATCTATTTCTATTAAGCACTACAACATTAAGCCACACAAGCAGGTTCCTACAACATTCTCGCCAAACGTGGAAACAGTCGGAATAAAAATATTTGTAAATAATTCTGAAATAGTAATAATAGCTGCATACAAACCACCAAATGAAACATTTCCATGTTACGTTTACAAAGAAATTTTTAACAACTATCCCCGACAAATATTGATGGGACACCTAAATAGTAAACCTACAGTTAGGGGATGCCGATCCACTACAGCCTAGGGTCAAACATTTTATTTAATTTGGCTCAAAATAATACAATTTGTATATCAGCTCCTACAGCTGCGACTCATTTTCCATACAATTCAAATATAGTTTCCTATATTTTAGATATACTATTAACTAATAGCATAGACTTTCCCATATTCCAAAACGAATTTTACGACCTTCAATCATATCACAACCCAGTATTAATAACTTTTTTCAAACCAGTAGAAGAAATAAAATAAAAAATGATTGTAACAGCAAGGGTAAACTGGCCCAAATGTTGATACCTAATGCAAGAAAACTACGTATACCCCAGAAATATTAAATATATACCAAATCTAGAATTCGAAATCGAAAACTTTAATACAGCTATTAACAAATCATTAAAACAAGCTTCGACTGTAAAATGCAGAAATCGTGCTTGCAATAATAAGTCCATTCAAATACGGTTATTAAATTTAATTAAATCCAAACGAAATCTGAGAAGATATTGGCAAGAAACATGTAGACACGACATCAGATCTAAACTAAACAAACTATCACAAATAGTAAAATTACAGCTAGACAAATTCAGATATTCCTAATTTCCTCATCTCTGGTCAACAGTCAGACGTTTCACGGGAGAAAAAACTGAATTACCCCGTCTAAAAACCAATAATTCAAAAGCCTATTCAGATGAAGAAAGAACTGAAATCTTAGCTGATCACCTAGAGCAAGTTTTCCGACCTCATCAAACAGCCGTGCCATGTCACAATAAAATTATTGAGGATTATGTAATGAGCCTCAGGTTTCAGTAACAATGAAAATTAAGTTTATCTCTCCATTGGAAGTCTCAAAAGTTATCAGCCGTTTAAAAACAAGCAAAGCTCAAGGGTATGATGGAATAAATAATAAAATGATAAAGAAACTAAACAAGAAAACTATTGCCGCACTCACGGCAACATTTAATGCAATATTACGCGTACATCACTTCCCAAATGCATGGAAAACTGCCATCATTCTACCTTTACGCAAACTGGGAAAAGATCCTAGATTGAGAGAAAACTACAGACCCATCAGTTTACTTCCCACCACATCAAATTCTTTTGAAAGATTGTTACTCAGTAGATTAAATAAATACCTTACTGAAATAAAAGTAATTCCCGATGAACAATTCGGCTTTCGACCTAACCATTCATGCACACACCAATTACTGAGACCAACAGAAAATATTGCCGAGAGCTTTCATCAAAAGAAACACACTGTAGCAGTTTTCTTAAACATATAGATAGGATCTGGCATGCAGGACTAATGTATAAATTACGTAGTTTGGGAGTCTCTGATTACATCCAAAAAATAATTCATAGCTTTCTTACAAACAGAAATGTCATGGTAAAAGTCAATGAAACATTATCAACCCCTCGAAACATATCAGCAGGCGTGCCTCAAGGCTTTGTACTCTCTCTGACACTATTTAATGTTTACACTTCAGATATCCCACGAATGCCAGACACCAAATTAGCTCTCTTCGCTGATGACACAGCCTTATTGACTGCTCATGAAGACATTCTCATAGCCCAAGATCGGATACAAAATAATCTGGAAGAACTAATATCGTGGACAAATCAGTGGAAAATAACAATTAATCCAGAAAAATGCCAAGCGAAAATATTCACACTTCGTAGACCAAGAACGCCTCCTAACTTAAAAATCAATTGCAGCCCGATTCAATGGAATACTGGTCCAATTAAATATCTTGGTGTACTTTTCGATAAAAGATTAACATGATAACCCCATATCCTTGCATTAGTAAATAAAGCTCAGGGGAAAATGTCAAAACTATACCCATTAATAAATAAAATATCCTCGTTGAAACTTGAATGCCAGCTTATGATATTTAAATCAATCATTTAACCCACCTTAACATAGGCTTGCCCTGCCTGGGAAACGCAGCACCCTCATCAATAGAGAAACTTCAGACGGTACAAAACACATGCTTTAGGAAAAATCATACAAGCACCCTGGTTTATACCCAATTCCCAGATCCATGGGGAGCTACGTATGGAACTAATTTAAGATCTCATCTCCACAATTTCGAAATGTTTTTATTCTACACTCAACATTTCTCACTTAACAAATAACTTTAACCTAGGACGAAATGCTGTGCACCCCTGCCGCATCAAATCCAAATTCCCAAAAGATATGTTTCGACCCCCGTAAGCCCATGATAAAACCAAATCAAACTTTTAGCATAACATTAAAGCATGCAAATGTTAATTAACAATAAACCAAGCCAATCCCAATCCAACACCTTAACAATGGAGCAGTGTTGCCAAGCTCAAATTGGCAAACCCGAACACCATTCAACTTCTTTGTTACAAAAATTCTGTTGACCAGTTTTATCAGCGAGTGGTACATGTTGACATATTCTAATTTATTTCTCCCTAAATTGCTTCGGAGAAGAATTCTCGGTTCGCGCCGAGGGCTGGCTCACCTTGGCTGGCTGCGGCCGGTCGGGCCCGGGGGGCGGCGCGCGCGGCACGGGACCCGGCGGCAGCGACGACGGGTAGATCCGCGCCGGCGGGGGCGGCGGCGGGTACGAGCCGGGGGGCAGCAGCCCGTGCGCCAGGTAGGCCGTGGCGAGCGCCAGCATCTGGCCCAGGCGCTCGTCGTTGGGCGCGGTGGGCGTGCGCGCCACAGCGCTGCGCAGCCCTCGCAGCGCCACTGCCAGCGTCTGCGCACCAACAAACACAGGGTGCCGTCTGCGCTCTCCGCGTATAGAGTAGTTACTCTAAAACGGGATTACTGTGGTTGGAAAATAAACGAACGAAATGGAGGGCGATGACTTTGTAGGAGTATCCTAGAGTTCGGCTGATCTGATCGATAGTTTTCCGTGGTTGCTCGGACAACTCAAGGCGAATCTCGGAAAGCTATACCCTAACAAACAGGCCTCGGACTGCTCGCGAACCTTCCTTCCTCTAACTTATCCTACCCTTACCACCTACGTACACACACACTTTGATGCACTACACTACCACGCATGTCGGGGAACCCGATGGGAGAATAGAGCTTTTCCCAGCTGCGAGGAGGGTGCCCCAAAACCGGTGGGAGATACCTAGGGTGATACCCAGCAAGCTGACATATAGGTCGGCGCTTGACCTCACCATGCAGTGAGGGAAAACAGCCACATTCTGTGATAAAAAATACTCTACACTTACGGGACTAACGACATTAGAAGTTGATGCAACCGGTATCACTAATGAATGAATGAATCAATCAATCAATCTAAAATCGAACCTCAACTAATGATAATTCAGCCACTCCAAAATAGTAAGAAAATAGTGTCCAATTGAACACATACAAATTCGAAATAAAAGTTAAGCCAGCATTTATTGAAACTGAAATCAGCATTTATTAAATAGGAGGAAGGCTCTGTATGATTTAACACATTCAGTACAAACTACTACAGTATTTTTCAAGCCATGGCATGATACTCTTGCAAACAATTATTACTGTCATGGAGAGTCAAAACTAGTCCGGCACGCCGTGGGGCTTACGAGTAATTGTGCGAAAATTGTATAGTCGGACTCCTGTGAAGGGTTCGCCCGCGATAAATGCAAATTTTAAAAGAGAAAGGTTCTGATGATAACAATCTTCGAGTATATAGTTGTAAAAACTAGAATTTGCTTCTCACCAAACTTTTAGTCGAAATGGGACAATCGACGTAAACGATTACTATCCTCCTAGAAAGCACCTAATAACAAGACTACACCCTAATGCAGATTTTATTTTTTATTTTTACTCACAAATCAAATCTACAAGTAATGTTTATCGAAACTAATTATGCTGAAAGCCTAAGCTGAAAAATAAATAGGAGATATCCTTCCCTACGCGATCACGTTTCTTTCCCATTTCTAGCAATATAAACAGTCAAAAAATAGTTATTTATGCACCAAGGGTTTTATAAAGGTTCTAATGACCGAGCGGCGGCAAAAAGCACTCGGACTTTTTGTCCGCCCGTGGTACATACAAGATTTTATTTTTTATCTCACTTTATTCATTTATACTTATTTACAAATTGATTAGATGTTAACTTGACGCGGTTTGTAGTATGATTGGATTTATGGCAACGCGATCTTGGGTTGTGATTGTTAGCGTTTCTTTGCGACCGCAGCAGAATCAAATGGAGGAACGAAAATATTCTAGAAGAGATAAAGCAAAAGAAAAAAAATATAATAATAATAATAATAATAATAATAATAATAATAATAATAATAATAATAAAAGAGCATAAGCTTGCGCCCCGGAAAAAGCACGAACGTTTTTAAAAGGAAGTATGAATATTTGTTATGGATGACAAAACATAATGTAAATGCTGTCAATGAGTACGTGCTTGATGATATGTAATATGAGCCCAAGGAACCCACAATTTTATCGAGAGGAAGTACTGAAATTTTTGAAAGACGCACCAAATGAACTTTTTCATCTTTGACAAAGTTATAACTGTTTTGGTTGTATACGGAGCTTTTTGAAGTAATGAAATAGTAAGTTTAAAAATATCTGATATGATTCAGGATCTTGGTTCTAGTTTGTTAATAAATGTCACCAGGAAAAAATATCTAGGAGCTATCTCGTAACGGATGGAAATGAGATGTCAGGCTACACATAAATACACTTGTTAATTTGACTCAGTCTTTTCATATTTCCTTCCCATAATCATCTCCATAAGAGAACATACACCATCATTACAATATATTCATATTTCCCTCGTAGCCACGATCCTCTCGATTCAGGTACGCTATGCAAAGTATATCGCGGACCAAAACGAAGGCAATAACAAGCCATTACGTATCAGTAAAAAAATAAAATATAAATCGATAAGGATGCCGGACGAACAAAAATATTAAAAAAAGAAGGAGGTCATTATACTTGCTGTCGCCCCTCCAACAATTGTAGTAAGCTCTTCACTGGTGAACTGATATTATAATTTGTATGAATCATTCAAAATTGCACTACTTTATACTTTTCCTCTTTCAAAATGGAACATTTATAGTCTCCAATGTTTTTCTTAAATTTTAAATAGTGATTTGAGTAAATTTCGTTAGCTGAGAGACCACTACGATGAAGTAGAGACGCCTGATGTAGTGAAGCCCGACGCTTCATTTTCACTTTCAGTAACGTCCACATTGTAGTTTTATACAATTTCACGGTCGGGAAAATTCTTATGTTCTTACAAGTAAAGAATAATTGTATTATGTTTAATGGATTGTCTTAAATGATAGTTTTTGAATTGCTGAATGAATTTTTCGATATTTCAGAAGTGAAAATAATTTTCAAAGAAACTGTGGTCGTTCAAATTGGAACATTTGAATTTTGTTGTTGCTCAAACTATTATTTAAATGTGAATTTTTTTAAAACGGTATATGTCTTCCACAACAGTGATTGTTCCCAAATTCGGCAAACACTTTTAAACGATCGATACTGAAACACAATCGTAGTTGCGTCTCAAAATACAACCTTAACGTGCTTTTTAGCCAAAACAACAAAATTTCTTTGGGGTATACGCATCATAATTATGTCAGCTTACCCCTTTTTAAAATCAAAATAATATTATGAATATTTGATTTATATTATCAAACAAGTGAACCAAGAGCACAGAACTGTAACACTCTACGTGTTGTACAAGTAGCAGGGTTGGAAAAACCAGGGGTTTAAAACCAACACCGAACGGGTATTTTGGGTTTATTTGTTGTTGTTTTGTTTTATTGGAAATATTACTTTCTAAATTTTTTTCATTTCAAATACTTCGAATAATGAATTCGAAGAGTCAAACTGAAGTACAGTCAGTAAGTAAATATTTGATTCAACCAAAGATTAACTCCCCCCCCCTCGTTTCATGATTTCAAACATGTTCGTTAATGTTATTACGTTTGACTAATAAAGTAACAAGTGCCAAGTAATAACTGTAGCAAAGTTGCAAAACAAATTTGCATTTACTGTACATTCAATTTTAACCTGTGAATTTGTTTGTGTGATTGAATGATGTTTTGGGGCACGTCAATTCCTTTGGTTTTAGTACCCTTGGTGAAGTGAATGGTTTATTTCGAGAGGAAGGTCTTTTCCCTTCTGGGCGGTGAGATCTGATGCCGCCTTTAATGTCAGCTTGTGGGTAAATTTCTCATCCTGGTATTTCACCTCGAGTGGCAATGCCCCAACAGGGACAAGCCCTAAGCTCTCGACTGATCTCCTAAGAGGTAGAGTAGTGCATGTAAGTGTGTGTGTGTGTAAGTTAGTACGTGAGGGTTGAGATTAGAACAATAATGAGGACGGGAAAATGGGGAACAGTCCATGGCCCGTTTCTTTGGGAACTTTCTCGAAACACACCTAATAGTGAGTACAAATACCACGAAAGATCAGAGCAGCCGGCCGTTAGAACTCTCCTTCAGGCAGCGGTTCAATTCGACCTATAGCATTGTAGCTAGTATCAAATTTTCTTCACTTAAATATTTTATCCTCAAGAATGTATTCAAGAGTCTGATCTCTGAATCGCTTTGCAAGTTCCATTCCGTAAAATGGTACGCTTTATAAATTAATTTGTCGCCCCACAAATCCATCCTAAACGTCCATATTTAGTAACAAAGCCCGATGACGTCGAAAGACCATTTTCCAATACTAACAAGCTTGTGTCATTATCTCTCAACCACATACAGATCGTTCTTGCACCTACGTTGGTCAGGTGCTGTCTGGAAATCAAATATCCTTTCCTGATAGTGGCCTCTTTTCTCCTCGTCAAAACCTCGGTTATATTTTCTTGGAAGTTTAAAAAAATAATACAAATCAATTTCTTTGTACCCCATACAAATTGCAAATATAAACGCACGCAAGCGGAACTACGTCCGTTTCTTCATATATCAATATTTCCAAACGCAACATTAATTGTTCCTTACATAAGCGAGCATAGAGGGGAACCGGGGGGATACGGTAAACATTTTCAAAGTAGTCCCATAGCCGTGCGTGATTCAGTATTTTACTTCCGTAAACATTTTCTATCTTTGAGTTTTCCTTCTTTAATCTGACAATTACGAATTTTTGAATTTTACTTAATTTAGGTATTTAGCAATCACTTATTTTATGCACAAGCAGCAACATTTTACAAATTACAATAAACGAAATAATTAATTACAATAATGTTTACAAAAATTGTATTTGTGAAAACCTTTAAAATAAGGAATTTATTATACGACAATGGAGAAGCTCTCCAGGTCTGTCATCATAAAAATAATTCAACTTAAAACCACTTGTATTTATTAATAGTAATTATTAAAGTTATAATTTACTTTTCGTAGTAGTTCAATGAAAAATGGACCCAGAAATGAAATTGGCTTCTTTTCTTTCTTTGGAGTGCGAACAATTTGAACTATAGTGCCTTACAATATTAGAATGCCTTACTTTACATAATTACTAATTAAGAAAAAATTAACATCCACTCAGCATGCAAAATAAAACATGTCATCTAACACTGCGGCGAAGGCTTAAGAAGTTTAACACGAGTTGTCGTTTTAAATCCATAACTGCATGGAAGTGAATAAAAGAAGATCATGGCGCATCATTACACTCTTTAAACGTTTTATTCGCCCGTTGTTCTCTCCGATAGAAGAGTGGGACTAGTCTTAGGAGTTGCCATCCTCAAATTTCAGCTCGATAATGATGATCAGGGTCAGGATGTTTATGACA